TTCATAGCCTCTGCAGACTCCCTGCTTCCTACTCATGGGGATCCTGTTCCTCCCTTCCCCTTCCCTTACAGCAGAACCTATCTCTGCCAGACAGCCAGCTCTGCGACCCCACGTCCACAAGCAGCCCGAGAAGACCACCCGAGTCCGGACTGTCCTTAACGAAAAACAGCTTCACACTTTGAGGACCTGCTACGCTGCCAACCCCAGACCTGACGCCCTCATGAAAGAGCAACTGGTAGAAATGACTGGCCTCAGCCCGAGGGTCATCAGGGTTTGGTTTCAAAACAAGCGGTGCAAGGACAAAAAAAGGAGCATTATGATGAAGCAGCTTCAGCAGCAGCAACCCAATGACAAAACTGTAAGTGGCTTCAGCCTCTGACCGTGCGCTGCCTTCCTTCCCAAGGAGAAACGCTTGGGCCATGTCCACCCCGGCCAGCCTCTGGGGTCGGTTTGACGCATTTGTTTTTGTGGGAGCTCCCTTAAAACAAAGAAAATGATACCGTTTAACTATTACCTGCTTGTTTCTGCTGTCAGTGCAATTAAAACAGACCACAGCGAGAAGCCGATATAGGCTGCTCAAGCGAACGTGTGTCTTTTTGTAGGGCTAAGATACGCAGTGGATTAGACTAACTTCTCTGCAGCATGAATTGCAACCTGCAGAGCTTAGGGGATGTAATAAGCCCAGCCTTGTGTAATATTTATATTGCCAATGCAAAGGACTCCTTGAGGGGAAAATGACACTTTCATCCTTTTCCATGGTTTTACACAGGAGTAATCCCAGAAGTAAAACCTATGAGTAAAAGGGAAATTTGATGTATTTTCTTAGCACTTTATATACCACAATGTGTATGTGTGTGATTGTCAGTGCACTTACTGTAGAAAAAGACAAATGCAATGCAAAGTTTTTTGAATTACCATCGTCTTTACAGGTTACTTAAAATATATATAGTTCTTGCACAGAAATATATTGAGTTCTTGTCTGCGGGCATATGCACGTGTGATGCAAACCAGCAGAAAGTGCTGGGTTTATCAGAGTAAACTGTCTCCATTTTAAGGCAACTTTTTTCCTTTTTTTTTTTTTTTTTTTTTTTTTCCTGTTGGTGTTAGTCCACTTGAAGAAGAGTCTGTTATTCTCCCTGTGTATATTGACTGACCTAAGAATGACTATTAATTCATAAGGCTGCCTAGTTAAGTGGAATTTAAGGAGTTTCGTTTTACCCTTTTGGAATGCAATAAAACACGATGTTATTAACTCGCCTGAACAATCTATTCGTCGAGGCTTGGAGTTATTTTGTACACAGTGCCTGCTCCACAGAGAGTACTGGGAGGGCTGTGGGTTTGGCTTTTTTTTTTTTTTTTTTGGGGGGGCTGGGGGAAGACCGCGGTACCGACGTACCCCAGGTTTACCGTGCAGTGGATATACGATCCAGTTAAGGTCACGCAGAACAAAACCAGCCTGGATGCGAAATAGAAAGGCAGCAGGATCAACCGTTTCTTGTGCCGAGCCGTGCATCGACAGCCAAGATAGAGAGTGCTCGTGTTTAAGAAAGCTTGGGGCGGAGGGGGTACGCCTTGAGAGAAACAGGAGGATTAAAGGGAAAGAAAGTAAACTTCCACCGTGATAAATGCAGCGGGTAGAAATAGGCTGACCTAGAGCAGAATAGAGTAAGACATTCACAGCGGATTAACAAAGCAAATACAAGCGACTGTATAGATAAGATAGAAAGCAGTTTATTGACTCAGCGCTTATATACAATAAAGTTAACCAAGCTCATTAACATCTTTTGCTGGGCTGTTTACAGAATATCCAGGGGATGACAGGAACTCCGATGGTGGCTGCTAGTCCGGAGAGACATGACGGCGGTTTACAGGCGAACCCGGTGGAGGTGCAGAGTTACCAGCCGCCCTGGAAAGTACTGAGTGACTTCGCATTGCAGAGTGACATAGACCAACCTGCTTTTCAGCAACTAGTAAGTGTCAGTTCCCAGACGGAGCAGGCCAGCCTGTACCCGGGGCAGAGCAATGGGGGATTCTCTAAATGTACTGGGAGCCCTCAGAGGGATGAGCGATCCAGACTAGCCGGGTTTTTCTGAAACGGCAAGTGGGCACGACGGCACTCTGCAAATGCGGCGAACTGAGTCGGTGAACAGGCCTTGGTGCAAAATCCGCCCCAGTGCACAGCACCCCTCTTGCCGAGCTGAGGGGCAGCTGAGTAAGGCCCGACCCAGGTCTGAGACTAACTCAGCTCCCGCACCCCTGAAAATTGAAGGCTTCTCTATCCAGAGAACTAACACGTTCTTCACGTGTCATTTATTTGTATGCACATTTGTGGAAGTCGTTTCTAAAATTCGCCCCTCGCCGCCTCGGGCCGATTTTGCCTTTATGCGGTAGGGCGGATTTTAAATATATGATTGTAGCGTCAGCCTGTGACCATGTTTTGCCACACAAACATGAACAGCTTAAAATTTTGAAGTCCTTGTTTTAAGCATATACCACTCTCTCCATATATATACACACAAACATTTACATATATATATCTTACATTAAATGTTCCCCTTGGAAAGGGAATTGTTAGTTCGTATTCACGTGAAAAAAATCAAACAATATAATAAACTGCCTTAACCCAAAATAAAACAGACCTTTTAGAATAAATTATGCTCTTAGCTCACTTCCTTACACCTACGTCATTTGACAGCTCATATGGGACCATATCATCATAGATATGGTGTTTAGGGTCATCGTTCAGTGATGGACTTGGCAATGCTATGTTTACGGTTGGACTTGATCTTAAAAGGTCCTTTTTCAACCTAAACGATTCTATGATTCTATGTCATCTTCAATACCTAGGCCAAAAGAGGTGAATTAAGGACAGAAGTTCAGCCTTAACTCAATTTCCTGGCCTAAGTGTGTTAAAACTAGATCTTTAAAATAATAAGGTACATTGTGTATGTTTTTTTTAGTGATTCAAAATAATATTTAAGGATGAAAAATTAGCATACAGACCCTTTTTTGATCTGTTGGGCATTTTTTTGACATGAAGAGATGGAAGACAAAAGTTTGTAGCCACGTCTAGAATTGTTTTCACCCCTTTCCAGTTTAGTATCACACTCTCTTGCAGGATCACTTTTCTTTTGCCCAGTGGCAGGCTGCAGCCTGCTACCCTCCCCTGGCACACTGTGCTCGCTCAGAAAGCTAAAGCACAGCAGCAGGGCTGTTTGCATCATCGTAGTTCTAGAGCAACCACCGATCTTCCTGCTTTAACCAAGCTGTCAAGCATGCACAATAAAAATTGATCTCTTTCGGCTGCCTTACTTTTTGTGCCTTAACAGAAAAGGAGACTTTAAAAACCTTTAATGCAGTAAGTTTTTGTATGAAGTATTTCTTAAAAACCAACCAACCAAAACACAGAAAAAACCCCAAACAAAAAAAAGGTAACATGGAAGATGGACAGCCCAAATACACACACGCATATAAGTAGGTAGATCATTAGACAAACAGATGAATATTGATACATGTTAGACATCATGTCTGATACTGAAAAGAGTTAAAATAAAGAATAGTGAATGGAACAGACAGTTCATGGATCGTTCAAGGCACGTCTCTAATCTGGAAAGGCCCTTAATCGCAGGATCGGCCAGCTAAATAGGTGCCAAAGAAATGCTTTTGGATCAGCAAAGCTCCACCCTTCAAATCACGCCTTTTCCCAACGCTGCTCCTAAACTAACGGGAGCCGCGGGGCACATTAGAATGGAGAAGTGTGACCTTTTTTATCAAACTGAGTCTCGTCAAAAAGAGATAACACCCGCTTCAAATCACAAACGAAAGAGGATGGCTTGTTTCAAATGCCTTCTGCTCCTGGGTGCTCCTCACAGGTTTATTTTAGTATGTGCACAAAAGGGGAAAAAAGTAACCTTGCAGTTTCATATCAAAAAAACACATGCACTCTTAAATAATTGACTAGAACATCCTGTTGGGATTCCCACTCTTGCAAGACAGGGAAGAAGGCCTCATTAATAAGTTTGTTTGTTTATATCTACTTGATTTTTCAGTCTTTTTTTTTATTTTACTTTTTTTTTTTTTTTTAACCTACATTTTTCAGTGATTTGGTTAAAGGCCTGAAGAAGGTTTCTGTGAAGTCCGTGGGGAAGCTAAACAAAGCAACAAACAGTGACAGAGCCTCCCGTGGAGACGTATCAGGCCACTGGGCTGCATGCCTGTGCATTTATTTTTGCGTTCTTCTTTGCATTTGCCTACTACTTTTCTTTGATTGTTACAGTTGTAACAACACTTCTTTTTCTTTTTTCTTTTTTTTTTTTTTT